AAAATAATTGAATTTCTGCAATTAATTGCAACTTCTCCAAAATTCAATTTTTTATAGTGTTTTCAAATAAAATTCTTCTATAAATCCATTATTTTTAATAATTAATTAAATATATATCTAATTTCAGAAAAATTTGAATTCTTGACATTTTTATTATTTATGAAAATAATTAAATTTTGAAGGATAATTTTTTTATTTATAAAGATAATTGGGATTTTGATTATATTATGTTATATATTATATTATATTATTATATTTTATAATAATATTAAAACTATATATTCCAATTCTCATATTTTATTTTTATAAAAAAAAATTGATTTAAAAATATTTATGTTCTATTATTTTTGAAATTTCTAATTTTATTTTTAAAAAATTGAGAGAGAAGTCAGCCTCGTGTGAATTGTTGCTAGTTCAAATTAAGTTAAATTATAATTAAATTAACTTTGAAAGTAAAAAAAGAGGAAATTGAACTAAAAATGATAATTTGAAATTAAAAAAAAATTAAATATGATGAAAAAGAGGTAGTTTTGATTAACAACAAGAATAAATTTTTTTAGCTATAACCTGTATTTGACAAGGGTGTTAGTGAACGAATGTATAGGTGCGCAATAACATTATTGATGTTGAGAAATTCACCCAACAACGCTTACGTACAATTTGAATCGTTAAACAATATTTGATTATTGTGCCTATTTACAAGTAATTTTTTTTCGTATAAACAACAACAATTCATATAATTTATAACTATATACGTCTGAAGGACAGAAACTAGCGACAGTTTCCTCACTCTTCGTTACAATTTTATTCACTCCAGACTCGATTTAAAAAAAAATTTAAGAAAACCTCTTTTCGCACTAGTGATAAAGAAAAAAAAACAATCGAAAAATTATATATTTACACAATCGATAAATTTAATATCAGAAAATAAACAATTTTCATCGAATTTTATATTATAATTGCATAGTTTTAGATTATAAATTTATTTTAGAATTTTAATATTTTTTCTATTTAAAATTAATATAGTTATATATATTCGTGAACAAAATTTCTACTTTTCTTTCAATCAAATAAAAGTCGCTTTTTTTCAAAATTAGTGCATTTCCTAATTGAATTATATAAATTACACGTATACTTATTGCGCTCTATGTCTGATTGCGCGCATTTAATTTATTCACAGCTGAAAATCTTCGTCTTCATTTTACAACTAATATATTTTTGTATGTTACAAATTTTTTCATATTTCCTATATTCGATATTGCTATTATTATTATTTCTATTATTATAATTATACTCAGAATTATAATAATTATTATTACTATTATTACAATTATTACTGTTATTGCTATATTATTATTATTAATAATATTATTATTCTTACCATTATTATTATTATCATTACTATTTTTATTATTATTATTATTATTATTATTATTATTATTACTATTACTAGTAATTAATATTATTAATATTATTAATGTTATTAATATTATCAATATTATTTTTATCATTATTATAATCATTGTTATTTTTACTATTATTTTATTCTTATTATTATTTTTTATTATTATTATTACTATAATTATTATTATAATTATTAATTATTATTAATATTATTATTATTATTATTATTACAATAATTACATTCCCTTTACAAAATTCAAAATTTGACTCAATTTTCCCATTGAGATTTATTATTTGACGGAAAAAAAAAGTTTTTCTTGGAATAGCGACAAATTTCACTGTATTAACGAAAGTTTTTATTGATTCAGTTAAGACTTTCGCTGTTCTAAGGGAAATTTTGTTTTCGTAACAATTTTTTTTTTTAATATTCGCAATTTCATCAATTGAAAATAATAAATATTCTTTACAAGAATAAAGAATCGAACAGTCAATTGGAAATAAAATTTTAAGAAATGTTTCCTTTAGTGAGAGAATTGTAATTTTTATTCAAGCGCAACGTTTAAATGCCCAAAATATCGAAAATTAAATTAAATTTGATATTTTTTCTAAAAGAAAACAAAATTCTCCGATTTCTGATAAATTATTTAATAATATACATAAAAAAATTAAAATTTTCAAGAGGAGAATTAGGAAGAATTAGTTTGATGAGAAATTAGTTATATATACATATGGGTAAAATTGCTTGCATCCTGAGACGGTTTATTGCGTCCTGGATATGTAAGTGACATCGAGCTTTTTTACAAGGAGAAAAAAAAGAATTATTATTTCCGTTACTGCAGAGAGTTGGGAATCATTTCGTTGTTTCCTGCAATCTCCTAGCTCTCTGGTCTTTCATTATAATACACTTCTTTTTTGCAAACGTATCAGTATACCGAGAAATCTTTTATTACTCCTAAGCTATAACCTGTATACTAAGATTGCACTTACACTTTCTGTCATCCGGTATAATTTTTTTTTCACTATTATATACATATAATACGTACATTATACATTAGAATTCCTCTACCCATGATGAATATATATTCGAATTGAGAATATAATAAAATTGGACAATTTTTTGGTTGCTGTTTAGAAGTAAATGAGTGACTTTTGGTTCAAGGTCGTTTTGTCCGTGATTTTATGAGTGAAAATCGACCTTAATGAAGGTTAGAGAACTTTTTTCTTATAAAGAAATTTACCAACTTTTCTCAAAAATTTGATGAAATTGTTTACGATCGCTTTGTCAATAATATTTTTTACTGCTTCATAATTTAAAAAAAGGAAAAGTAAAATTCAATTTTCAGTTACTGTAGGTAGTTTATGTCTCTATAAATATATTTTAAAACAATTTTTGCAAAAAATTACAGAAAATCTCAATTTTCATCAAAAATTTTTTGAAACTTTAAACAATTTACTTGAAGTCCTACAAAACAAAATAATTTAGGTTTGTTTCGATAATTTTAAGTACAAATTACAGTTTAATTTGTGGAAAAATGATTGCTTGTTAAAATATATTTTTTAATTTAGGGTATAATCTCAATTATTATTTAAAAATTCCACATAAACTCAGTAAAAGAAACAAAAAAATAAAAACCTTAACTTTTTTAAATTGTAGTTAATTATTTCCATATAATTAAATTTCCAATTGCGTAAAAATATTTTAAATACGTTTTTTTAAACTCCTATTTCAGAAATTCTCAATTTTTCTCTAAAATTTGATGAAACTGTTTACGTTCACTTTGGAAAAAATATTTTCTACTGCTGTATAATTTAAAAAAATGAATTTGAGTTAAATTCAACATTCTGTTTAAAACTTCAAATGTTTTTTAAAACAGTTTTTGAACTTAATTTCAGAAAATCTCAATTTTCCTCAAAAATTTGAAGATAGTCTTTATCTTCGTTGGAAAAAGCAAAAAATTCAAAAATTCTTTACATTTTCAATTAATAGTTTCAATATAATTTAATTTTCAGTTGAGTAATAAAATATTGTAAAAGTCGTTTTTTCAACTCCTATATTTAGAAATCCTCAATTTTCTTCAAAAATTTTTGAAGAAAATTTGAATTTGCAGAAATTTCTAACTGCTTCATAATTTAAAAAAGCAAATGAACTGCAATTTAATTTTTAGTTACTAGTCTTCTAAAGTCATGAAATATCTTTTAAAAAATGTTTTTGAACAAAAAATTCAGAATTTCCTAATTTTCATCAAAAACATGAAGAAACTGTTTACGTTCGCTTTGTCAAAAATATTTTCTACTTCTTTATAATTTAAAATGAAGGAAATTTATTAAATTTGAACCTTTAGTTACTATAGTAATTCTTTAAATAACTTTTAAAATAGTTTTTGAACTAACTTCCGAAAAATCTCAATTTTCATCAAAAATTTGAAGAAATTGTTTACGTTTTCCTTTCTGAAAAATATTTTATACTATTTGATAATTTAAAAAAAAGAATTTTAGTAAAATTCAACTTTCAGTTACTATAGTTAAAGTCTTTAAATATAACTTTTAAAACAGTTTTTGAACTAAATTCTAGAAAATCTCAATTTTCCTCAAAAATTTGAAGATAGTCTTTATCTTTGCTGGAAAAAATAAAAAAATTCAAAAATTCTTTACATTTTCAATTAATAGTCTCAATATAATTTAATTTCCAGTTCAGTAGTAAAATATTCTAAAAGTCGTTTTTTAACTCCTATATTAGAAATCCTCAATTTTCTTCAAAAATTTGCAGAAATTTCGAACTGCTTTATAATTCAAAAAAGCAAATGTAGTAAAATTTAATTTTCAGTTACTAGTCTGCTAAAGTCAGTGAAATATCTTTTAAAAACGAATTTGAACCGAAATTCAGAAATTCTCAATTTTCATCAAAAATTTGAAAAAACTCTTTACGTTCGCTTTGACAAAAACATTTTTTACTTTTTTATAATTAAAAAGGAAGGAAATTTATTAAAAATGAACCTTTAGTTACTATATAGTAATTCTTTAAATAACTTTTAAAACAGTTTTTAAACTAACTTCCAGAAAAACTCAATTTTTATCAAAAATTTGAAAAAACTGTTTACGTTCCCTTTCTGAAAAATATTTTATAGTACTTTATAATTTTAATTAGCAAATTTAGTGAAATTTAATTTCTAAAGTCAGTGAAATACCTTTTAAAAACGAATTTGAACCGAAATTCAGAAATCCTCAATTTTCATCAAAAATTTTAAGAAACTGTGAACGTTCCCTTTGTCAAAAAAATTTTCTTCTTCTTTATAATTTAAAGAAAGGAATTTTAGTAAAAGTCATCTATCAGTTACTATATATACTTTAAGTCTTTAAATATATCTTGTAGAATATTTTTTAAACTAAAGTGCAGAAAATCTCAATTTTCATCAAAAATTTGAGGAAAGTCTGCATATTAGTTAAAAAAGCATGCAACAAATTCTGATATTCTTGTCAATTCCAATTAAAAATATGATTATACTTTAATTTTCAATTGTATAGAATTTTAAAAAACGCTTCTTTAAATCATGTTTAAGAAATTCTCAATTTTTCTCAAATTTTTGCAGAAATGGCTCAAAAAGATCGACTGTTCTACGATTCAATGAAATAAATTTATAACATTTCAAGTTCTATTCGTTAAAATAATAGAAAGATAAGTCAAAATTTATATTAAAAATAAAAGTTCTTTTTCTGTTTAATTTTGAGGAAGATTACTTCCTCAAAATAAGAAATAAGAAATATTAAGAAATATTAATAAGAAATATTTGAAATAAAAATTTAAAAATTTTCAGGGTAAGCTTGCTGCAGATTTTGCAATTTGACTTTGATTTTCGATTCGATTTTGACTTCGACATTGACTTTGAAAATTATTTTTATTTTTACTTTGTGTTTGACTTTGACCTTCTTTTGAACTTTGACCTGAATTTCATTTTAACTTTGACTTTATTTTTAACGTTCACTTCGACTTCGACTTTTACTTTTAAACTCAAAGTCATAGTGAAAGTCTTTAAAGCTATTATTGTCAATGTCAAATTTGAATCAGAAGTCAAAGTCAAATTACAAAATCGCACCCTGGACTAGAAAATTTCCCCACCAAAAATAAATTCGGATTTACAATCATCTATACCAATTCTGTAGCGCCAAGTAAAAAATTCCACAAGTAACTTTTTCTTTAAGATCCTTATTCTCTTGTAAGCGAAAATCAACCTAACAAATAAACATTGCTAAAAATTCTTTTTTATTTTCTTCTTTAGAAATGATATATTCTTCGATTTTTACAGATTTTGATTGATTAATTTTAGCAGCATTTAGTTCAACGTCCAAGGTAGAGGATCCCTAAAGTATCATCCAATAATTTTTAAAACACTCATACCCCTTCAATACAATTCATTAAGTAGATATTGTTCATCACACCAGTCCAATTGATTTTCACTATCGTGAACTCAGCTAAGCTGATAGTACTCAGGAGCAAAGTCATTAGCGAGATTACTCAAAAAATTGAAATCAGACGAACTGTTACTATTGTCAGCCGATGGAGGCGGAGCATTATTGTGCACCTGTTCATTATAGTAATTGCCAAAGTTACCATATGCTTCAGCATTCGTGTCATTTTGTTGTCCCGTCGAACTATTGCAGGGCGGAGTGATAACAGCTGCAGTCGCCGCAGCAATTGCAGTTGCAGTTGTCGTAATACCTGGCGCTGGGAATGGATCCGGTGAGGAGACATAACTATTCGGTATATTCGATGCCTCACCACCTTGATGAATGTGCATATTCTGATTTGTTTGCTCGTAATAATGACATTTATTCCCCGTTCTATAATCAGTGCTACTGTGTAACGAATGAGTAGTCGGAATGTAGTCGGAATTCTGTTGATGTTGTTGTTGTTGCTGCTGTACTTCTCCGTAGTATTGTCCGTTTATCGCAGAATGTGTGTGGGAATTGAGTGTCTCAGAGGTGTGATATGAACTGGGGTAGTAGTAACTGTCTTGTTCGGTTTGACCAGAAGGGTAAGCTTGATAGGAACTGTTCTGCATGCCCCTGTGGTAGGTGTGATAGCCCTGGGAGTATCCGTTATACTCTCCTGGTGTTCCGTACTGTTGGTGCTGTTGGTACTGCATTGAGTTGTAAACCGATCGGTTCGATTGATGACTCCTTGTTTGGTTGGTTCGTTGAGTTTGTCTGACTTGTGGGTACATGGGATGGATTTCCCCTCCGTAGGGTAGCCTCTGTTGATAGGAGTCCCTTGAGCAATATTGTTGGGAATGTTGTGTCTGTTGCGTCTGTTGAGTATGTGAAGTATGTTGGGTATGTGAAGTATGTTGGGTACTATTTTGACTATTTTGTTGTACGGATTGTCTGGGTAGGCCATTCCGGTAGTCGACTCCAGTGGTTGGTTGATAGGTCTGTTGAAAATGGGACTGATTCGGAGGTATGTTTCGATTGTGAGGAGAAGATCCGCCTAAGAGAGTCGAAGTTGTGGAGGATGGAGAACTTCTAGGTCGTTGCATGTAATTGTGAGGGGTTTGGATACCTAGGGGACTTCCCTGTTGAAGTTGGATCGAAGCCGGCGTTCCAGGCGTTGAAGAAGGCGTAAGACTTCTAGTCGATGAACCCTGGCTTGGAAGTGTACTGACTGTCGAGTCTGGCAGTGCAAGAAGTACTCCGTTACTTTTAACAGAGCAAACATCTTTTGTCGACGGTGATTTTTTACCGACATGCTTCACTGGATTTGGACTCTTGTGACCGGCTTCGATTTTCACACGAACTTCGCCTGTTAATTTTTTAACTAGACTTGGCGATGTCACTTCGCTACCATCTTGTGAGCGGGAGTCGTCGTCGTCCACTATCATTTTCTCGAAGGAACTGGAAACACTGTTGGTACTACCTACACTACTTGCTCCATTACTGTTGGTACTGAAACCTGTGTTGTTGTTTGTTGCACTAGGCGTATTGTTATTATTGCTACTCCCTCGGCCTGAAGAGAGTTCACCAATTTCACCGGAAAGAGTACTGCCCACATCACCTACCCCCGAAATATCACAATTGTGGCAGCTCTTCTTCTCATCGTCGTCCATTAATAACATTTTTTCACCCTTCGGCTTCTCCAAACCATCCGATGATGTTCCGTCCTTCTCGTCACCATCCTCCTTCGTCAAGGTCTGTCTTTTATGCTTCATTCTTCGATTTTGAAACCAAACCTTCACCTGTAAAATATTCAAGTTTTATTGTGTTTTTTATCCAAATTTCTCAAATCTAGAAACCAAAAAATTTTTCTAGAAATTATTGTTTTTGAATTAAACCAAATCGCAATCTCACCTGCCTTTCCGTTAAATCTAACGATGCAGCGATTTCTATCCGTCTTGGCCTACACAGATATTTATTAAAATGGAATTCCTTCTCTAATTCCAATAGTTGAGTATTCGTGTAAGCTGTTCGTAATCTCCTTGGAAGACCATTTTCTGTAACAGAAAAAAAATTTTCCTCTTAGAAAAAAATTCTATCGAAAAACCTTTTCTTTCCTGACAATGATTAATAACTAAAGGCGCAGTAATATAAAGAAATTGTTATATATATACGTTAACGATCTAAGCGGATAGAATTCAGGAGGACTCCTTCGGAAAACTTTTGGGCTAAGTTTCCTAACTGCTATGGTATTTCATGTCGAAGCGCAAACACTGCTTAATTATTATCACCAAGTAAGAAACTTGTGTCCTATGATAACAAGGGATCCTCGCCTAAAAGGGTTTCAGTGAATTATCCAAACAATTTTTTTGTCCTCTTAGAATACGCAGGCTTTGAACTCAATAATTAATTTTAAAAAAGTATATTTGAGACTGAAAAAAGTAATAAAAAGTATAGTTATCGAAAAATTAAATTTAACTAAAACGAGTTTTTTTAGTCGATTCACAAAAATTTGATATTTAAAATTTCCTCGAATTTCTCCTGATATCCATAAAAAAATAAGTTTCTTGATAAATACTGATAGGAACTTCAATTCTAAATTTTTCTATTTAATTATTTTCCAAATTTTTAGGTAGAATTCTCCAAAAATGCGATTGTATTTAAAAATAGTTTTTGAAAGTAATAAAATAAGATTGTTTAAAATATAAAATTTATTTCAATTAAATTTGACGAAATTACTAAATAATTAAATATTTCATTCAAACTTTTTCAATTATTTACTGAGATTTAACTATATTTCGAAAAACATTTTAATTACAATTTTCTATAAGGCGAATTTTTTCACAAACTCTAAATTAAATTATTTAAAAATTGAATAATCTTTGCGAAATAAAAATTTTAATAGGTAGGGGAATGTAGTCAAGGTTGGCCTACTGTCTAGGTAGGCCACTCGCGTTTTTTTGTCAAGTTCACTAGCGCCACCTACGCGCATTTTTGTCGAAGCTTGTCTTAGTGAAACCTAACTTTTTGTTCAATTACATTTTCGGAAAATCGAAAATTGTGTTTTCTGTGACGTCGGTACAAAAAAAGCTCAAAAAAAGTTTTGTGCATAATGTGAAAAACCATTAATAAAAGATAAAAAACAAATTGAATCGTCAAGGCAAGTATGCAGAAAATTTGTGGGACTCATGGTTGAAAGGAAAACAAAGTAAAAAATCGAATCCCGAAACGTATTTCTTTACGGTTACAACAATTCGGTAATGTTACTTACTGTCAAGGTCGGCCACTATGTGTTTAAAATGCGCAAAGATGACGACGAGCTACTTCATTTGCAAAAACTGCAATTCTGAATAACTCATATTATAATTGATCATCTTATTAATATTTTTATTTAATTTTATTAATATTTTAGTGCAAAACTTTTTTTTATTTATATTTATTTTTTTATATTGTTTATTGTTATTATTTTGTTATTTCATTAAGTTACAAACTGTAAACAATAAAGAATCAATTTTCCGTAACTCCAAACATGTTATTTTATTTTTTAACGATTAATGCCCTTTGAATTTTAAACATGGCCGACCTTGACTGTAATGGCCAACCTGGACTACAAATTTTTTTTTTTTTAAATCTTTATAACTTTTTCATTTTTAAACCTGTCAATTTACTTTGTACAGAAAAAATGTTCCTATTAAACAGGACTTTCCAACCATATACTTCAATTGTCCAAATTCATTTTTAAAAAAAAGTTATAAACAAAAGTCAAAAAGGTGGCCGACCTAGACTATGTTCCCCTACTTATTTATTCTTTCCTAGGAATTAAAATTTTTATTACAATTTAAAAACTTTTTAAAATTCAACTAATTTCTAAAAAAAACATAACATTCTTCCAAAATTATTTGGAAATTATTTGGTATTTGTAGAAACTTAAACCCGTCGAAGACGGGTACGACAGCTAGTTTTTAAATAAAATTGTTAAAAACTTTATTCATTTTTTATTTAGGAAAATAATTAATTAATCATTATTTCAAATAAATATTTAAATACTATTACAATTTTGAAGAAAATAATATTTCCGAAGATTATTTCTTAAAATTGAATTTCTGCTCTAAAAAACTTTATAAAAATTTTAAAAAATAATTGAATTTATTATAAAAATTTGATTACAATGATTAAAAATAATACAATAAGTATAAAACATTTTTTAAACATTGTATTTAAAATAATCGAATTCATAAAATCGTTTAGAAAAATACTTGAATTGTTTAAAAGAATTTAACCAAATTTGAAAAAATAATTGAATTCTTTCGAATATTTTTATTACAATGTTTTTAAATAATTGAATTTATGTGGAGAATTTTATTACTTATGAAAAAAATTGAATTTTTGTGAAGAATTTTGTTAAATTACTCGAAAATAATTGAACTGTTTCTATAAAAATTGAATGATTTATGAAAATAATTGATTATTTGCGAAAAATTTTTTTACATTACTTGAAAATAATTAAACTTTTTCTAAGAATTGAATGATTTATGAAAGTAATTTATTATTTGCGTAAAATTTTTTTACATTACTTGAAAATAATTAAACTTTTTCTACGAATTTAATAATTATGAAAAAAATTGAATTTTTGTGAAGAATTTTTTTATATTACTTGAAAATAATTGAGCTCTTTCTAAGAACTGAATGATTTATGAAAATAATTAGATTTCTTTGAAGAATTTTTTTGAAATTATCGAAAATAATTGAATTCTCGATGAGAATTTCAGTAAGTTTGAAAATAATTGAGTTCATGCGAAGAATTTTATTATTTACAAAAATAATTAAATTCTTGCTAAGAATGTTATTATTTATTAAAAAATAATTGAATTTTATGTCAAGAATTTTGTTAAATTATTTGGCAATATTTTAATTTCCTTTATAAGAATTGAATGATTTATAAAAATAATTGAATTTATGTGAAAAATTTTATTTTTTATGAAAATAATTGAATTTCTATGAGTAATTTTTTTTTTTAATTTTCAAAAATAATTAAATTCTTGCTGAGAATTTCAGTATATTTTTGGAAACAATTGAATTCTTGCGAAGGATTTTATTATTTACGAAAATAATTGAATTCTTGCTAAGAATTTTATTATTTATGAAAATAATTGAATTTTTGTAAAAAATTTTATTAAAAACTTTTTTTAAAGATTTTTTTATTAAAAATTTTAAAAATAATTAAATTTTTTTCAAGAATTAAATTTCAATTTTATTTAAAAATAGATTAATATTCTCATAAAAAAAATTTTATCAAAATTATTAAAAATGGTTTGCTACGGAGAATTTTATAAAAAAAATTTTTCAATAATTCATTTATTCAAAAAATCTTCTGCTATAATTGTATTTTAAAGAATTGCATTTCTGTGCTTTCATTATATTTGTGAAAATAATTGAATTCTTGTGAAGAATGTATTATTAAAATTTTCAAAAATAATTGAGTTTCTGCGGTGAATTTTATTAATTATGAAAATAATTGTATTTTATATGTTAAAAAAAAATTATTTTTTTAAAAATAATTGAATTTATGTGAATGATTTTAAAAAAATTTTTGAAAATAATTGAATTCTTGCGCTGAAAATTTCAGTATTTTTTAAATTAATTGAATTCTTGCAACGAATTTTATTATTTACAAAAATAATTGAACTCTCGCTAAGAATTTTATTATTCATGAAAGTAATTCAATTCTTGTAAAACACGTTTTATTAAAATTTTTAATAATAATGAATTTCTGTGGAGAATTTCATTAATTGTGAAAATAATTAGATTTTTGTTAAAAAATGTAAATTTTTTTTAAATAATTAAATTTATGTTAATGATTTTAAAAATTTTTTTGAAAATAATGTAATTCTTACGCTAAAAATTTCTTTTTTTTTAAATTAATTGATTTTTGCAAAGAATTATTTTTAAAATGTTTAAAATAATTTGTTTATTTTAACTATGTGCAGATTTAAATTATTGCAATTTCTCATAAATGAGAAAAAAGTAGATTTTAGTATCAGAAATATAAAAAAATTATCTAAATAGTAGCAAATCGTAAAAGAAGTAGTAAATAGTAGTACACTGAAAAAAAAATTTAATTGATTCAATTAACCGATTAATTATCCATTAAATATTTAATTGAATCAAATAATATTTATTGGAGTCAATTAAATGGTATTTGATTCAAATACTGAAATTATTGGTTCAAATACCATTTAATTGACTCCAATAAATATTATTTGATTCAAGTAAATATTTAATTGATAATAGTCAATTAAATGGATATTTGAATCAATTAAATTTTTTTTTCAGTGTAGGTACAAACTTGCTAAATATAATAAATATATTTCGCTTTAAAAAATTGCTTATTAAATATAATAATAGAAAGTGGCACATTCTCTGTTAAAAAACAATCGACAATAATAATAATAATGGATTTTAATAAGTAATTGATAATAATAATAAATTAATAATAATATTGGAGAAAAAATAATAATTATTGTTTAGGTACAAAAAACAATGGGGTATTTCTTTCAGATGATACAATTTTTTTTTATTCACCGTTCTTGTTGAGCATTTACGCGCTGGAGATGCTAAACTACCCCATGGCGTGCGAACGGATGTTAGGGTGGCCTAGGGCGTCGGATAAAAAAAAACGAGGAAAGAAAGAAAATAGGGTGGGTCATCCGTCGAAGCAGACCGATAGCGCCCCAATGAGGGTTTTGCCATTGCAGTGAAATGGAACTGTGCAACTTGATTGACATGGGCCTCATCAGTATTACCAGTCTTGCGATTGGTTGGACAGACCTGTCAATCAAACCTGATCCACGCCTCGTTTTATCTTACCCTCCATTTACCTTTTTCGATTACTTTCCATACTTCAAAATTATGCTATTTACATTTCATGTTTAATTTCAAATTTTAATTTCAAAATTTCTTAAATAAAATCCATAAAAATAATTCCTATTTATTGAATTGTCTGCATTTTTTTAACGATCTAAATGGCACAAAATATGGCGACAATATTGCGACGATA